CTTCGCCAACCGACCACAATCAGATTGAACGCTTTGAGCGTCATAGCGACGCCCTTACGCATATTGCGGAGCATTACGACTGGTAGTACAATACAGCGAATTTCACTTGCCTTGGGCACTCGAACTACGTGCCATCATCTTCGCTGCTGAAAGCCTCCACTCTCCGAGCAACACCAAATCTACTTCAACCTGCGCAATGCGCCTGAATACCTAGTTCAACCCTAGGCTTTCGAACACGTATCCCTCCATACTCATTCGCGCCCCGTAGGATGCCTCCCCGACGATCACACAAGAAATCGAGGGCAGGCTGTCGGCGGTGCAAGTCGCGCAAGATCAAGGTAACGCCTGTCCCCTCCACCGCTGCCTTCTCTTCCCACTCGCCATGCCATGCCGGACCCTCGGATCTAACGAGACGCGACTGTAGTGCGATGAAGTTCATCCACGATGCGGCAACTGCCTCAAGCACGGCGTGGCATGCGATTTTCAGAACCCCGACATCGTCGAAGATCTCGTCGCTACCGCCTCAGCACCATCGCCGGCAGCCCCCGCCTCGACAACGGCCTCAGCGGCAGACGCCTCGACGCCCGCCTCCTCTCCCACCATACCATCGCTCAGCGACCTCAAGACACCGTTACAAGGCGTCACATCACCGGCCCTGTCATTTGCCACACCTCTCTATACCATGCCGTCGACGCCCACCATCAGCACCAAGTCCCCGACGAACCGTCTCCTCGAGCTTCGCCTGATGCACCAGTACACATCCATGACATCGCGCACCCTCGTCGTGAACTCGCCCATCACCGACGATATTTGGCAGAACACAGTCCCCCGCCTCGCCTTTAGCGGCGCAACTATCTCGCCGACGCCATGCTCGCCGTCGCCGCCCTTCACCTCCGCTCCTTCAACCCCGACGACAAGGACCTCGCCCGCGCCTCCCACTCCTACATGGCCTCGTCTCTGTCCGCGTACTGCGCGTCTCTGAACGAAGGGATCAACGAGTCCAACGCCGAGGCCCTCTTCCTGACAGCCACCCTCATTGCCTTCCAGTCGTCTGCCTCGCGCATCTTCATCCGCGACGACGCGAACCCGGCCGACCCCTCGAGCGTCTACACGCTGCCGCTCTCGTGGTTCCACGCCTTCCAGGGTGTCAAGACGGTCGTCGCCTCGTCCTGGCCCTGGCTCCGCTCCTCGGGCATCGTCATACCCATCATCGACTCGCAGCCCGTGCTGCAGCTGGACCTCGACGGCTGTGCCCCTACGTCCTTCTTCGGCCACCTTCTCGCGGACCTCGACGACGAGCTCGCCACCGAGCCGTGCCCCGTGACGGTCATGGCGACCAAACAGACCTATCTCCACGCCGTCGCCGTCCTCAACTGGGCGCACAAGATCCCGCACCGCGGCGCCGCCCTCGCCTTCCCGGCCACCGTGTCGAAGCGTTTTCTCGACCTGATCGAGGCCCGCCGTCCGCGCGCCCTCGTCGTGCTCGCCTGCTTCTTCGCCTGCCTCAAGAGCATCGAGAACGTCTGGTGGCTGCACGGCGCCGCCCGCCGCGAGGTCATGGGCATCGTCTCCCAGTTCGAGGCCGCGAGCCCCTGGTGGGCCCACCTCGAGTGGCCCGTCCGCATCGCCCTCTACGACGGCGCCGTCATCCCGCCCGACGTCTGGGGTGCCGACTGGGTCACGGAGGAGGGCAAGACGGACAAGGGCTCCACCATGCTCAACGAGACGTTTGTCAACCACATCGAGATCCTTGCCGGCATGCTGGCCAAGGCCCAGTCGCTGCCGCCGATCCCCATCCCGGGTGATGCGGTTCTCGGGTGATCCGGCTGATGTCAGACTTTCAAAGGAATAGAAAAGGCAGATCGGAACAAAGATGCAGCTTCAGGTCACATGGTGTCAGATTGCCGAGGCGCGCTGCTGACCCAGATTTTGGGATCATCCCTCATTGGCTTCTTTACTTTTTCTTCTTCATTTCTGGCGGAATATTTTGGTAGCCCAGGATTTGACGGGCGGCGTCGTATGAGTATCAGTCTATGGCCCCTACTCCTTGAGCACGCCTAGAGAGGACTAGTAGTTGTCACAGGAGGCGTTTGGCAGAATTGATTCACCCACTAGACGCTTATGGCGGTGATTCGAGCGGTATCATGGGATCTTGTTTTAGGGGGAGCATCTTTTTCATAGCATATGTATAGCGCGTCCTGGGTCACATTTTGGGTCCAAACGGTTCGGATCAGACTTTGGTGGGGGGGGGAAGGCTTGGGCATGTTCATTCGAGTTCTGGCAGAGGAACCATGTAGACAACCTTTCATCCAAAGAGAATAGGTTGCAAAGTAAGCAAAGCACATAAACAAGCGTGGTCGCTCTGGTGTTTCCACCGACATGACGGCTTCAAGAATACAAGGGCGAACGGAATAGCATGATGATGACCGAATCCTGTCTAGAGCCTGTCCGAAGTACCGAAACAGCCACGACGCCGCTTTTTCTTTTTATATCGCAAGCCAGAGATGCATCCCCTCCTTTCCCGAACGCCAGCCCAAGAAAGAGACGCAGAAGCAAGAACCCACATCACCTAGCACGGTCCACCTGTACGACAACCCCCCCTCCCACTCCCCCTCCCACCCATGGCCGGGACGTTGCCTCAGTTCTTCTTCCTCTTGTCCGTCTTGACCTCGTCGTCGCTCGCCGCATCGTCGTCGGCGACGTCGCGGCTGCGCTTGAGACCCTTCATCCTGCGCGTCTGCAGCTGGCTGAGGTCCTGGCGGCCCGTGTGCACGCGACCGACCTTGTCGCCAATCTCGTCCGTCTTGATGTTCTTCTTGGTGCGCTCCTCGGTCGTCTTGGGACGGCGCATGGCCTCCTTGAGCACGGCCTCCTCGGGCTGCTGCATGCGGCCGACGCGAAAGTCCATGCGCGGGCCGATCTCGTCGACCTCGACGCGCGGCAGCCGCTGCCCGGACCGCCTCGTGCGGATCGTGTACACGCGCAGCCGCATCGGCGGCTTGGCGCCCGCGAGCCCCTCCTCCTCGACCGACAGGCTGACGAGGTAGCGCAGGCCCTCGACGTCGACCTTGTCCGACGGCTCGCCCTTGAAGAAGTCGGTCCACATGCTCTTGGCCATGGTGTACTCGTTGGCGACGGGCGAGTCCCGAGGCCGAGCCCGGAAAAATACGACCATGGGCCGCTGGCCGACGCGAACTTGGCGCTCTTGAACTGCTCAAGCTGGCGAAACGGGTCGACGTCGAAGTTGCATCTCGAGCATGTCGAGCACCTTGGGGCGCAAAGAGGCCCCGCAAACGTGACCGTGTGCGGCCGCTTCTTCGAGTGGAAACCAAACATGACGAGGGACGACTGGGTTCTTTTCGCCGGGGAAACTCGAGCGAGTCGGCCTTTTCAAACGGGTGGATCTCGTCTTCTTCGTGAGCCTGTTATTTTTTTTCATATGCCTGTAGTCTTCTTCTTCTTTTGTTCTCTCGGGAATATCAGACTGGGAGGGGGGGGGCTGAGTCGCACTTCTTGACGAGCGGCTCCCGCATGATGCAGAGGTTGCTCAGCGCATCCTGCACGACCTGGCTGCACGTCGAGCCCTTGAGGGCCATGAGACGCTTGGGGTTTTCGACGACCTTGGGCTCGCGATCGGCGAGGGCGCGCTTGCTTCGCGCATTGCGGCGCTTGCTGTTTTGGTCAGATGTACGGTCGGCATAGAGAGGCTGCTGGCATCCGAGACTCACACTTGACGAAGCATCGTGGGCTGTGGGTCTGAGATTGGCCGGTCTTTTTTTTTTTTCTTTTTCGTTCCTTCTTGACACGCCGGGCAGATTGAAAAACGAGCGTTGGCAAGGGGTATATTCGCTCGGTCTATCGATGCAATGGACAGTGGCGACAAGGCGGCAGTCGAGTTTGTCGTGCAGAGCTCAATGGTGAAGTTGAACGCAAAGGCTGGGAACAGTTTTTTTGGTGGAGCCCGTCTTATCGATAGGCCTACACCCCGCGGTGTGCACTCCGCCCAGGACCCCTGCTCACGCTCACGTTCACGTTCACGCCCTCGCTCACGCTCCAATCCTCGACAATTGACAACTCGGAGTGTATTCGACCAGATGAGCAAGCAGGAATTTAGGTGCTGCCGCCATTGAGCTGCCGACATCCTCACTGATGACTGACTCCATTGCGTTATATGCGATCGATGCTGCCGAAAACACCCGAGTACTAGGTTCCCATCACCGCTCCCCTATCCCGTATCCTGTACATTTCTCATTACACAAAGCAAAGCAAAGCCACTTCCCTCCCCCCACCGCTCGTCTCGAGGACATGAAAACTCTCGCCCTGTGTGAGGAGCGCATATGCGCCTCTTTGAATGCCAGCAGTTCTAGTTGCGCGTGGTGGCGCGCCGAGTATGGACATCCGAAAACAAAGGCCCTGTGTCACCTGTGGCCTGGGTATCATCGCACGTGTGAGCGCCCTCCGCAAATGAAACGCCGAAATTGCCGCCCGGTGATCGCGTCGCTTAGGTTGCCACAGCCATGGGCATATCCTGTTTCGATGCCGGCTCCTGTGCCTGTACTGCCTTGGTTCCGCGGCCCACACCGCCCATTCCCGCATGCTTCATGTGGACGCCCTGGCTGAGGACGCTGGCCGTTCGCAACGTCTCTGGAGACACGGCTGATAGTGTTGGTGACTGCTGAGATGTTGCCTGTCCGTTGGGCGGCGGCGGCGGCAGATGTTGCTGCTGCTGATGGTGGTGGTGATGGTGGTGGTGGTGTTGGCCCACATGCGAGGGACCAGCTTGTGGCGGCGCCGAGGACATGGCGGTGCTGGAACCGGGCTCAGAGTGAAGAGGCACATGTTGCATCTTGTGGGAGATGTGGTTGGGGTTTGCCCAAGGCGTGTTCTTGATAAACTGTTCGCCGGCCGGACCGAGCGTACCTCCAAATGAAACGGCCTGATAGTCTTCAAGAGGCTGCATAATTGATCTCTGGCGAGAACGCGAGGCTCGCTGACTGTCGTTAGCAAGAAAGTTCCCTGACACTCAAGTTCTGCTGTTTTGGCATACCTTGATAGCTTCCAGATCGTCATCAATTTCGGCAGCGCTTGCACCTCGCATCGCAGGAACCGCGGGAAAGCCTTCATGCTTGGCGAGGCCTGCGAGGTAGGCCACCTCAGTGTTGTATGCGACAGCATTCCTGGTGCGCTGGGCAGGGATCGTGGGGAATTGAATGCTGTAGTCGGGGACGCTGTGTGCGCTGCGCCTGGCGTTCTGGGTTTCGTACCACTCCTGGTTGAGCGATTCCAGGTATTGCTCACGCTTCTCCCGGATACCCTGGTAGAATTGACCCCAGATCTGCGCCCTGCGTGCGACGGAGAGTCTGTCGAGGGCTTGGATTGTGAGCTCATGTTCCCTGTTGACCTCGCGCATCCTGTTGTCGAGTCGCTCGTCGAGACATTGCCTCATGAGAAGATATTCAGGGTGGGTAGGATTGTCGGACTGGAGAGACTGCTCCTCGGCTTCCAAACGCTCAAGGCGCTCCTTGTAGAGCCTGGCCAAAGTCAGTAAACGGGCAGGCATAAGCCGGCATGGGAACTGACCTCTCGCGGAAGAGCACAAATCTGGCTTCAAGCTGACTCCACTCGTCGAGTGCGGCTTGTTTCCTCTCAACTGCGCGTGGCGTTAGCTGTCGTTCGTTCATGCCATTGCAAGTGGTTGCCCTACGTTCTTCCTCGTCTCTGGCGGCAGCGTCGGCATCGTCTTCAACCTCGGGCAACAGCCACATCCTCGTCCACACGGGGCTCAACGCCCTCGTCGGGGGGTGCCTTCTTCGTGAGTATCGGCGTCATTGATCTTGTCATCGTCGCCCGTCCTCGGTCTTGTGTTTGCTGCCATTCCCTCGGGGAGCTTCCCGCGTGACGCTGGACGCTTTGACTGGGCTGGCGCTGTCTCGAGACGGCTCAGTCTTGGCTTCGGTGGTCAGGACTGGAATTTCCTCGTCGGCAGATTGGTTCCCGCTGTTGGGGCGCGTCGACAGAGGATCATCCTCATCATCTTCGCGGCGCGCAGCATCGCCCAAGTCTGGCGCGGCGAACGAGCCCGTGCGCTTTCTCAAGGGTTGGTCAGAGTCGGATTGATCGACGGGAAGTGACCGTTTTCGCTTCTTCGTCTCCGATGATTCTCGAACAGGGCTTGCCAACGACGTGACGGCGGGCTTGGCAGGTTTGGTCGGGGAAGGGGATCCGTCGCCGGGGCTCGATGCCAGGGACACGTCGTCGTTGTCGGACAGCGACTCATTATCGCTATTGTCGGCCTCGTCGTCGACGGAAAATGTTTTCTGGAGCTTACTTGGGGTGTGCTCAAAGATCTGACCGTCATTGAATTCATTGACGACGACGTCTCGGTGTCGCTGGGCTTGCGGTGTGTCGAAGAGACGCTCCGTCTCGGCCTCGGTGTCGTTGGCGTCGGAGAGATTGCTGTCGGACTCGGACACATCGCCCTCGTCGTCGTCATGCTGGCGAGGCGTATCGTGATGTATGTTCATGACATCGAGAGAGCCTTCGTCGCCGTCTCCGTCCTCGACATCGCTCAACGGACTGGAGATGTTGCTGTCGTCATGGTCAAGGGTCGGCTGCTCTGGCGAGAGCGCAGGGGGGATCGCCCCAGCGGCCGCCATCGCTTCTTTCCTGTGTGATCACAGTCGCAAACACGGATGTATTATATTCGCGTTGGGGCAAACTTGTTGGGGCTTGGGCGGGAGAGGTTTTCGCGCGAGGAGGTCGGGTCGGGAAGAGGTTGGAGGGGCGGAGCTGCAGCGGCCGCGAAGGGTGTCGGCAGGAGGTGCTGCGAGAATAAATTGCCAGAGTCAAAGGAATAAAATTGGGAATGAGGTGTTTCGCTTCCTGTTGGTAGGGAAATCAGAGCTTGTTGGGTGGGTGTTGTGGTGTTGTAGTGGGAAACCGGAAGAAGCATTAGTGAACCTGCCACTCCATCAGATGCGCTCATCTACCTCGTGCCTCTGCTCCTCTCTTCTCGCTCCTCTTGCGCACCAGCACCAGCACCAAGCACCAGCATCACTTCGGTCGGCAGAACAAAACCCGTTCATTGGTTGGGAGCCGAGGCGGTGAGAGGCGCCCGGAAGTGGGTCACATTGCGGGTTCGGCGCGGCAAAACTCGACCAATCGATTAGCAGCGCCAGATTGGGGATGTGCCCCGCTGTAAAGTTGACCGTTAGTGTCTGCGAAGAGGCCTAGAGCTCGACATTTTTCTTCGGGGTGCGACTTGACGAAACGGCCAGGATCCCATCAGTCCGTCGCAAACCACCGATTGTCATACACCATGTCAAAAAAGTAGGTTGCCTTTTGAAATCGAGTCAGATAAGAATTGTGTACTAATTTTGTATCAGAACCTCCAAGTTGACGGCCTCGTCCAAAGCCGTGGACCCCACCCTCGATGCTCTTTTCTCCTCGAGCGTAAGCCGATAATTGCTCTGTACGATCAACGGAGAGACGTAACTTGACTGACAATCTCCAGGCTGGACCTGCCAAACCTCACCCAAGGGCTAAATATGCCGAGGCACCACCGCCTAGGCCCAAAAAGGCTGCCGAAGAGTCCGACGAGGAGGAGGAAGCTGGTGACGACGACGATGATGAGGACATGGTGGATGCTGATGCCGACCTCTCTGAGCTCTCAGGCGATGCTGAAGGCGAGGCTTCCGAGGAAGAGGATGTGGAGGAGGCAGTGGAGCGCCTGCTGGAACCCCCCCGGAAGCCCAAGGAGCGCAAGCGCAAGCGCGACGAAGACGACCTCGAGGGCAAATACTTGAACAAACTCGCACTGGAAGAAGAGAAGGAAGAGGCCCAGCTCAAGCGTCAGAAGAACAAGTCGGAGGCCCCCAAGGCCGAGCAGGCAGATGACACAACCTCGGACGATGACGTGGAGAAGGAAGTCCTCCCCGTCCACGAATCTCTCGTCGCAAAGGACAAGAATGATGCCAACACCAAGGACACGGATGTCGAGAAAGCCAGCCGCACAGTCTTCCTTGCCAATGTTGCCGCCGAAGCGAGCACCACAAAGGCAGCGAAGAAGACGCTCATGACGCATCTCTCGACCGTCCTGGAAAAGGGCGAGAAGATTGAGTCGATCCGGTTCCGCTCGCTCGCCTTCTCGGCCGGCTCCATGCCCAAGCGCGCCGCCTACATCACGCACTCGCTCATGGAAGCCACGACGAAGTCCGCTAACGCCTATGTCGTTTACTCAACCCCGGCTGCGGCGCGCAAGGCCTGCACTACGCTCAACGGCTCCGTCGTCCTCGATCGCCACATCCGCGTCGACAGCGTCGCCCACCCTGCGCCCACAGACCACCGTCGCTGCGTCTTCGTCGGCAACCTCGGATTCGTCGACGACGAGACGGTCCTCAACACGGACGCCAGCGGCGAGACTAAGGAGCGCAAGCGCAACAAGGTCCCTTCCGATATTGAGGAGGGTCTTTGGCGCGTCTTTGGCAAGGAAGACGGCAAGGTCGAGAGTGTCCGCGTCATCCGTGATCCCAAGACCCGCGTCGGCAAGGGCTTCGCCTACGTTCAGTTTCACGTCCGTCCTCCCCCATCCACCCATATTCTCCCTCTCTACAGGTTTCATGAGCAGCCACTGACATCCAAATAGGACGCCAACGACGTCGAGGCCGCCCTGCTCCTCAACGAGAAGAAGTTTCCCCCCATGCTCCCGCGCACCCTCCGCGTCACCCGTGCCAAGGCCCCGCACAAGACGGCCCTCGCACAGGAGCGCTCCCGCGCCAAGACGGCCGGCGACAAGGCCACGGACAAGAAGTCGACAAAGTACAAGCAAAAGGCCACCAACGAGGAGCTCTCCATGGCCGGCCGCGCCTCGAAGCTGCTCGGTCGCTCGGGCGCCCTGTACGACCACAAGAAGAAGAAGCAGGGCCGCGGTGGTAGCGGCGACGGCAAGGAGCAGGCCAGCGGGTCAGGGCTCGTCCTCAAGACACCCGAGGAGATCATCTTTGAAGGCAAACGCGCGAGCGCCAATGACGGGCGGCCGAGCGACGTGAGGATCGGCAAGAAGAAGGGCAGGGTCAACAAGGGACGGGTGGAGAAGAAGGGCCGTGGAGCCGTGAGGGCCGCGGCATGGCGAAAGGAGGGTGGCAAGACGAGTAAGGATTGAGGGGGATGGGGACTAAGGTAGCTGTTGTGATACCACTTGTGTGTTGTGTTACATGGACCGGGGGTCGGCGTACGAAAATAGAGATATCATGGCTTTTCATGGCTTGACTTGTTATGCATGTGTTCGGCTTCGAAGGTGATTAATCTGGTCTCTTCCCGATGCTTTCGCATTTTTCCTTCCATCGACTGGTTCATCAATCCGTCTCATGTCGTCGAGTTGAATCCACGACGCTATTTCATGTGCTTGAACCAACGTCAAGAAGAAATCTCTATACTTCACACCGATTGACTCGACAGAGGTTCTTGGGCTCTTCCTGTTCCACCAGGCAATTCAACTGCCTTGCGAGCTACCTCGACCAAGCACCAGCTAAATCACATGTCCGCAGTCGTGATAAACAAGCAACGAAAGACCCCACAACGCTAGCCTGGTCCTCATCTATTAAAATCACAGAGACTCCAGATAACAAAAGATCCATTCGTTGGGTAATGGATTTCAGAAGGGGTAATCAATCCTAGGCCTAGCGTCGTGTCGTTCGACGAGGGGACGAGGAGAACAAAGAAATCTACCAGACCACCACCTCGACAGGCTATCAGGATGCAAGAGAAGGCAGGAAGCAATGCAGGTTTTTGTTCTGCAGAAGCATGATCCACCCCCAGCCGCAGTCCCGATCCCCTTCCAAGTGTGTAGAGCAAAACGCAAACGCGAGGAAGGCAACTCTCCGGGGTCGTCTTTCACCTCTTAGTACTCAGCGTCACCCTCATCAGGCTCGAACGAATCGGCGGCAACCTCCTCGTAATCCTTCTCGAGCGCAGCAAGATCCTCACGGGCCTCGCTGAACTCACCCTCCTCCATGCCCTCACCAACGTACCAGTGCACGAAAGCACGCTTGCTGTACATGAGGTCAAACTTGTGGTCCAGCCTCGACCAAGCCTCGGCAATCGCGGTGGTGTTGGACAACATGGAGACGGAACGGTCGACAGAGGCGAGACCGCCATCGCCGGGGGCGGCGGGGACGGCAACAGGCTTCTGGTAGTTGATTCCGAGCTTGAAGCCCGTGGGGCACCATTCGACCAGGTTGAAGGAGGACTTGGCCTTGAGCGCGGCAATGGCAGCGTTGCAGTCGCGAGGGACGGCGTCGCCACGATACAGCAGAGCGACAGCCATGTACTTGCCGTTGCGGGGATCGCAGACGACCATCTGGTTGTTGGGCTCGAAGCCTATTTTTTTTTTGGTCATCAGCATTACCACCATCAACTACGACAGACCGTCATTGACTTACACTGGAAGGTCAACTCCTGAACCTTGAAGCTCTCGTGCTGGCTGTTCGAAGCAGACACAACGGGAGCGTAGCTGATCAAGGGGTAGTGGATACGAGGGTAGGGCACCAGGTTGGTCTGGAACTCGTTGAGGTCGACATTCAGGGCACCGTCGAATCGGAGAGACGAGGTGATGGAAGAGACGACCTGAGCGATCAGACGGTTGAGGTGCTCGTACGAGGGACGGGGGATGTCTAGGTTGCGGCGGCAGATGTCGTAGACAGCCTCGTTGTCGACGAGGAACGTACAGTCGGAGTTCTCGATGGTGCTGTGGGTGGACAGGACAGCGTTGTAAGGCTCGACAACGGCCGTCGAGACACGAGGAGCGGGGTAGACGGCGAACTCAAGCTTGGACTTCTTGCTGTACTCGGTAGAAAGACGCTCGAGAAGGAGGGCACCGAAACCGGAACCGGTACCACCACCGAAGGAGTGGAAGATCAGGAAGCCCTGGAGGGAGTGGCAGTTGTCTGGACGGCATCGTTAGCATACCGTCTTACAGATGTATCACTGCCGATGGCTCTTACCAGCAACACGGCGGATGCGGTCAATGACATTATCGACCATCTCCTTGCCAATGGTGTAGTGGCCACGGGCGTAGTTGTTGGCGGCATCCTCCTTGCCGCTGATCAACAGCTCGGGGTGGAACAGCTGACGGTAGGCGCCGGTACGGATCTCGTCAATGGGCGAGGGGTCCAGGTCGACGAAGATGGAGCGAGGAACATGCTTGCCACCGCTGGTTTCGGAGAAGAAGGTCTCGAAAGAGCCAGGGTCGCCGATCTCAGGGCCGTTGGGGTCGGGACGACCATCAGCGCCGAGGCCGTGCTCGAGCAGGTAGCTAGCTAGAGGTCAGCCTCCGAGCAGCAGCATGGTGAGAAGTTTCGGGTCGAGTGGACATACAGTTCCCAAGCAGAGTTACCCAGCTGGACACCGGCCTGGCCAAGGTGGAGGTGAAGAATCTAAAAAGGGACCAACTTGTAAGCATGCTTGAATCGAGGCCAAACAAAAATGGTTGATGGCGGATTCAGCCAGCCGAAGTGCAGAGTTCCATTTCCACTCGTTTTCAGGGGTCCGGCCCTGAGGAATGGGACGGCCCGCGATAGCTTCATCTGGCATGGGAGCTTCAGGAACAGGGAAAGCTTCAACATACCTCGCCCTTCATGATGAATGATGTTGTCGGAGAAGAGGCTAAGACGGAGACTGCAACGGAGAAGAGAGCAGCTTTCACGCGCGCAGCGCTGGTGTGGTCCAGAGGTCCAAGGAAGGCAAGGAGGAGAAGGAGGTGGTTTTCCCAGTTGTGGTGAGGTTTGGCGGGCCTGGGTACAGAGTAAAGGGACCGGGTGTTCAATTGTGGGCTTCAAGGCGGGGCACGTCAACTATCGGGTGGCGCGATAGGGGGAAGGCGCTGGGAGATGCACATCGCGGGTTAGCGCCAGGTCCTCAGGTGCTGGACCCTGGTGGATTTCTGGGCCTTGCCGTCTCACAGGCCAATGAGCGAGCTTCTGCTTCTCACCGCCAGATGGTCCGTGCTGAGCCACAAGGGAAGTGGGGTATCGAATAGGGACAGCAGTGGCTCAGAAGCGGCCATGATTGGACACCGTCGGCTTTCCGTGGCAGCAGTGGTTGGTGATGAATGTCTGGGACACTGCTTGTCCTGTCTCTACGAGACCCTGTCAGATGGGAGGCATCTCCTCGTTTGACAGCTGCCACGTCGAGAGGAATTTCAACGTTGCAGAGGTGTTCCTTAATGTAATGTACGCGGAGTGAGGTTCGGGTGGGTGGGTGCGACCAGCTAGCTAGCTGGCATTTTGAAGGGGGGGTAACCCCTCTTTACTCTTCATGCGTTGTTGGGCCCTACATCCCTTCGTAGAGGTACCCAGATATGGTACAGACGGCCGATCAGTACTCCACCGTGAGCAAAATGGTGAACCTCAATATCGAGTCTACGAGGTTCATCATGTTGCAATGCAGAATCATCTGCATAACTCACGTCGTTCGACCAAGCTAAACTTTGTCTTTGTTGCCGAGGTTGTCAGTGCAGTAATGATAAGTTCAGGGTATCCATGTTACTAAGTCTGTTGCAGTACATGCGGCTCCTTGATTCTGCGACAAGCAGGTCGGCCGACTCCCTTGCAGAAAACTTTAAACCATCTACCACATGGGGGAGAAATGGCCAGGTCCAGTCAAAAAACGTCAAAGTAGCATGTGTCCTGGACCGACAAATAAACATAACCATGCCTACCACAGGACAGAATTGTACATGTCTTCATTCAGTGGGGGGATATCTAAAAGGCATCCTCGGGCCTTCTTCCGCCATGTCTCCTGAGAGCATGTGCGGCATCGATGTAACAACCAACTCCAATACAATCTTACAGAGCAACCATGGATAAATTGCCCATGCCTGCTGTCCCTTAGGCTTAGCCTTACACACCACCCTTCATTTGGTCCACCCAGTGCGCGTCACAATATTCTCGATTTATTTCGCTTGTTGGGGTTCTCTGGGCGCATCAGGAACCTTGACATCTTCGAAATCGTCTTGGCCAACAGCCTTCAATGTGTACCAGTCTTGCGTTCAGGGTCAGTAAGATGACCATGGTAAGGGAGCTTGGCTGGGCAGCTTACAGACACCCCCAACAATGGTCCACAATCCCAGGCCGAGAACAGCATTCTTGACTATGTACGGTTTCCTCGCCCGAATCAGAGCCGGGCCTTGCCTGAGGTGGCGGTCGTAGTATGATGATCTTTGAGTTCTGTCCCTCGTCAGGCCACTATTCGACCAATTGGCTGTTCATCTGTCAAGTTGAACACGTACCCCGCCATTGTGTTGTTTAGTTGTTGCTTCTGAGAACAAGCCGTGAGATGTCAAAGACTTCGTGAGCCGTGAGTTCGCGGCTTGTGAGGTTGTGTCGTTGTTCAATCGTCGTTCGATGACCTTCGGGATGTTCGTGTCGCAAAAGTTGCTGGATCGAAGTCGAACAATGAAAGCGATAAGACTCCGGGAAAAGCACGGCAGAACCGATAGTGCAAGATTGAACAGGGATCACACAGGAGCTTCTGCGTGGGGTGCACAGACCACCTACGCAATCCAAGCTTCGCGCGTCCAGACCGAGACCGTGGAACCTCACTCTCGAACCAAACATATCCTGCCTGCCTTGTCGTGCAGTAGAGTTTCTGTTACGCAGCCTGCCCCCCCTCTCAGCAACACGAAAACGCCCTCACCACGATCATCAGACACACGAACCTTTGAGCGCCTGCAATACTTGGGCGGGATGCGGCTCGGACAGAGCTTAGGAATTTCCACAGGTCGCGACAGCTCGTAGCCGATGAACCCTAGCCGACGCCGCCTGTAAACTTCGGAGAATCGATTCGCACTCAATACTTCACATACAAACGCAGAGCTACGAGCCTGCAGCCTCTCAACATCATGGCGTCCCCTCAACTATCCGTCAGCGACCAGATCCGGCAACTGAACGATGCGCGGAAGCTTGTTCTAAGCGATGTTAAATATTACTCGAATGTGGTCAAGAGCATCTTGCAAATTGTTGTACCATCCGCTCACCTCGAACTGCGAAGATGGGGCGCAGAGTTCCTTGCCGAAGCATTTGCGACACCAGCACTGCCCTTGAGCGAAAAGGAGACCATGCAGCTCTTTGTTCTCGAAACATTGAAAGACCTGCTGGAAGACCCAAACGAAGATCTGCAGGTGTTGCGCAGCGCAATTCAAGCTTCTGCAAGCATTTACCCGATCGCCTTGCGGTGGATGTGAGTGCGCCGACGAGGAGAGTCGAAGGCACGAAAGAGACGCAAACTGACTGGTGGACAGCATCAACAATTCCTACGATAACATGACATGGGAGCGCATGGTTAAGATCAAGACTCGTATACTGCGTATCTGGGAGAATGCTGAGCCTTCTCTGCGGATATGCTGCATGAAGTTTGCGCAACGGGTTGTGCTGGCGCAGTCAGTCGCAAACCCCCAAGAACCTCGGGTACGGTCGTGCTCGTTCTTCCAGCCAATTGGTCGTCGTGTAACCAACCTCACAGCGCGTGATTCTCTCGATGTTTCTCTGGATAGTGCCGAGATCATCAGACCCTTGATCACAGACACTAGAGGCGAGCAGCTGGGTTGCTTGACAGGATATTGGGTGGACTTCAAGACCAGGCCAGGTAAGGAGAAGAACTTCCGTGCTCCAACCTCAACGCTACTGACATGATGCCCCAAACACTAGCGATGCTCTTCTCGTTGATGCTACTCTGAATTGTCTGTCCATCCTTGTACGCACGCGCCCTACCACAGCGAACAGAATTCTGGCCGCTGTCCTCCAATTCAACCCTTTGAAGCTTGCCAACTCGCCCATGACACCCCGGATACGTGTGCTAGTGAAGTCCATGGAGAAAACCACAAGGATGCTACTGATGCATATTGCGAAACGGTATTGTAACAATTGTGCTGATGACTCGAGATGTCGGACTAACATATGCTACCCAGCGATCCTCACAACCCGATTGTCCCTCGGATCCAGCAACATGTCGAGGGCATGATGCGCATGCGTTCCGAGATCCTTGATGAGTCAAGTCGGAAGCGTGGCCTGGAGGTAATGCCGGAGGGCACAGATCTTAAACGACAACGGACTCTTGCGCCAGCGCCACAACAGCTGGAGGTCACACCCCTAGCTCCTGGTCAACATAGCCTCGCCGATGTCTACACACTTACAGGCAGTGAAGGATTGAAGGCTTTCGACATCTCAACGGTGCCGGCGGGGCTGGTCGCCCCGGATCAATGGTGTCGACCCTGTCCAGGATAAAATCCCCCAATTGGCTCTACAAGGGGGTTGATGGGAATCAAAGGGCGACTTGCCG